CAGGGCACCATTTCCTAAGCAGTAGAGGTCTGTGCATCCCTCCATGGATATGCCTCCCCAGACCATCACCAAACCTGTCATGTTGAATGACGTTGCAGGCAGCATAATGTTCTCCTTGTCTTCTCCAGACTCTTTCACGTCTATCACAGGTGCTCAGGGTGAACCTGCACTCGTCTGTAAAAAGTACAGGGCGCCAGTGGCGGACTTGCCAATTCTGGTGTTCTTGAGCAAATGCCAGTCGAGCTCTACGGTGCTGGGCAGTGAGCACAGGGCCCACTACAGGACGTCGGGCCCTCAGGCCGTCTTCATGAAGTCTGTTCCTGATTGTTTGGGTGGAGACGTTCACACCAGTGGCCCTCTGGAGGTCATTCTGTAGGGCACGAGCAGTGCTCAGCCTGTTCCACCTTGCACAAAGGAGCAGGTATCGGTCCTGCTGATGGGTTGTGGACCTTCTACGGCCCTGTCCAGCTCTCCGAGAATAACCGCCAGTATCCTGAAATCTCCTCCATGTTCTGGAGATTGTGCTGGGAGACACATTAAACCTTCTTGCTGCAGCACGTGTGGATGTGCCATCCTGGAGAAGATGGACAACCTGTGCAACTTCTGTAGGGTTAAGCATAGCATAGCATAGTTTATTTATATAGCACATTTAAAATGCAGCATGGGAGCTGCCCAAAGTGCTGCACAGGCTAAAACAAAACACACCCATTACAAGGAGCTAAAACAAATGATAAAAATCTCAATTAAAAGCAGAGAAAACATGAATAATAAGAGCACATTAAAACAATGACACAATAAAACACTAAAACGAGTCACTGTCTAAAAGCCAAAGTGTAAAAGTGGGTCTTTAAACGAGATTTAAAAACCGCCAGAGATGGAGCCTGCCGAACTCCAATGGGCAGTGAGTTCCATAGCTTTGGGGCAGCATGGACAAATGCTCGGTCCCCCCACGATTTGAGTCTCATCCGCGGCGTGTGCAGCAGCAAAAGGTCAGCCGACCTCAACGAGCGGGTGGGCACATATGGAGTGAGAAGGGCAGAGAGGTAGGAAGGTTCCAGGTCATTGAGTGCTTTAAAAACAAAAGTCAGTAACTTAAACTGCACTCTGAAAATGACGGAGCCAGTGAAGATGTGTCAGGAGAGGGGTAATGTGGCTACGTCGGTGTGTACCTGTCAAGAACCTGGCAGCAGCGTTCTGAACAACCTGCAGCCGATTCAGGGCAGTGTCCGGAACACCAATGAGGAGGGCGTTTGCATAGTCCAGGCGAGAGGTAATGAATGCATGAATGACTGACTCCAGATGCCTCCGTTTCAGGATTCGTCTGAGGTGAGTAAGGCGGCGAAGCTGATAAAAACAAGACCTCACTACAGAGTTTAACTGTGGGGCCATTGTGAGTCCAGCATCCAGCTTGACCCCGAGACTCATCACACACTGGGGTTAAGGGTTAAAAGGTCACAAACAGGGTGAGAGCCATGGTGGTTGCGGGGGTCAAAAACAATAAACTCAGACTTCTTTTCATTCCGTTTTAAGAAGTTGGATGCCAGCCAGCCCTTCACGTCATCCATACATGCAGCCAATTTCGAGCCCGCATTTTTCTCGTCCATTTCCACGTATAGCTGACAGTCATCTGCGTAATGTGGTAGCTCAGGCCATGCTGATTCAGGATATTGCCCAGAGGCAGAAGGTAGATTGAAAACAGCAATGTCCCAAGAACGGAACCTTGCGGCACCCCCCAAGGCAGTGGAAGACTGGAGGATGCACAGTCACCAATCTGTACAGAGATGGTACGGTTTGATAGGTAGGAGCGGAACCATTTAAGCGCCACCCCCGTCACCCCAACCCAAGACCCAAGCCAATTCAGTAAAATTTGGTGATCGACCGTATCAAAAGCCGCTGAAAGGTCCAGCTGGAGCAGCAGTACCCTAGACCCAGAGTCAGATGCCACCAGAATGTCATTTAGCACCCTAATCAAAGCAGACTCAGTGCTATGGTTTGGTCTAAAGGCTGACTCAAATACATCCAGCAACGAGTTGCTATTCATATGGGCAGTGATCTGGCCATGCACAATTTTCTCAAGGACCTTCGAGAGAAACGGGACTTTCGATATAGGGCGGAAGTTCTCATAAGTGGAGGGATCCAGACCAGGTTTTTTCAATATCGGCTGAACAACCGCATCTTTAAAAACCTTAGGGAACACTCCAGTGCTGAGGCTAATGTTAAAAATGTTCATGAGTGCCGGGCTCAGCACAGACACCGAGTCACGTACCAATTTAGCCGGGAGGCAGTCCACCGAAGAGCCAGCTGGCTTCATGGAGCTAATCAGTTTCATCAAATCAGCAAGCTGAACAGGAGCAAAGTCTGAGAAGGCAGGTGGGTCCGGCGGTTCCACATGGATAGTATGTATTTGAGGCTGGAGGCTAAGCCTAATACCAAGGATCTTGTTGAGGAAAAAGCTCTGTAGCTCTGTGCATAAAGCAACAGTAGGATTTAGACCATCAGACTCATTTAACAGTAGCAGGGAGTTGATTGTGCTGTACAGCCTGGACTGGTCTCCATGATGCTGTGAAATGATAGCAGAAAAGTAGTTGTTACGAGCAGATCTAACTGCTCTCTGGTAGCGTGTAAGTGCATCAACCAGGAGCAGCCGAGAGCATGACAGTCTGTCTCTCTTCCACCTCCGTTCCAGCACCCTACACTGTCGCCTGAGGCTACGGGTGTCATCATTCAGCCAAGGGTCAGATATTGTCTGTTTCCGCCTCGGTCTCAGAGGGGCTACAGTGTCCAGAGCAGCAGAGCAGGTCACACTGAACCGATGCAGAAGGCCATCTACATCAATGCAGGAAACCGACAAGGGCGGAGCGAGGGCATCAGTGTCCAAAACCGACAGAAAGATGGAAGTCGTACTCGGAGATAAGCGCCTGGAGTAACGGGCAGACCGTCGCCGGGCTGGAGGAAGGAGACGTGAAATGCTGAACGTGATCACAGCATGGTCGGAAAACGCCACAGGATCCACAGATAAATCATGCACATCCAGTCCAAAAGATAAAACCAAATCCAGGGTGTTCGAGTCAGCATGAGTGGGAACATTTACCAATTGCTGTAGTCCAAATCGCCTCATACTGCCAGCAGAGAGCCAAAACTAGCACGAGTGGAAAACCAGCCGAAAGAGATCAAGAGGGAGAAACTTGAAATGACCTCTACATGTTAAACCAGTCCTGTCTTGAGGGCTTTGTAATTGTTGCCACTTTAGTGCACCTGTCATTAAGTCCATGAACACCAATACAGCTGAAAGTGATTAACAATGCCCTCAGCTGCTTAATCAACCAGGAAATTATCAGACAGTTTTAACTGATTTCATGCCAGGCCCAATAAAAATGTTCCTTTAATTCTTGTGAACAGTGTATTAACATAAATCACACACACATTCTATAAATTATTGATAAAAGGCATGATTACATTCTATAAAGTTTTTGAATCGATGAAATATCTATAGTTCCTTTTCAGGGATTTTGCTTAGAAAGATTCACTCTACTACTGATGTGTAACGTTGATGTTTTATCTCTACAAATAACACAAGCCTGGAGGAGTTCTACTGTGTGGTGGAGTTGCTAATGCTAACAGTTAGCCTCTACTAGATGAGATGTTCTCTGTTGTTTACTAGACTCAACCAACAACAGCCTTCCCCGTTGCGAGTCAAGATGGGTGAGTCCATGAATGTTAAGTGACAGTGTGACGTAGATCTGTCAGGCTTTTCTAATCCTAGAGTTTCAGGAGGTAGGTGTAAGAGACTAGTTTCATGTTCAGCCTGCATAAAAAACTCAGAGTGACCCATTGTTATCAGAAAGAATCATTAAAAATGTTTTTTCAGTGAATCACATCTTTAATTTATTTGCCTAATAGTCCGTTTGAATTTCTGTTTTCTAGTTTTCTGCTCATTTGAATTTGTTCTAATATTTATGAGATTTCCATGATTTGCTTTGTTAAGCCTGATATTGAATCCATGTGATTTTGGCCGTGGGCAGGACACTGTCTCTGTGGGGTAGTGGGTGGGTAACAGTACAGAAGCTGCAGAGGGGTGGGTTAAACGACAAAAAGTTTAACTGTTGGTGACTGGTCAGGGTTAGCACTGAAGAATGGAGACATCTTAATTAAGATGCTAAATTCCTACTAGTGCATTTGTTATTATGAATATTACTTATTACTTAAATGTAATTTCTACTTGTTCGTATTTTTTCAAATTCATCAGTAAGAATATTATTTGGACAAGGATAAATTATATTATTGTTAATGTAGAACAGGAATTACAGAGAGGTGTAGTTGATTAAATATAAAAATGGCTTTCCATACGGCTTGTTGTAGACAGATACAGGGGAAACATAGAACAACACAATATGAACCGTTACTGTTAAATCCATTCAATCACTGATGTAATCTGACTCACTTGGACCTAGTTCGTCTGCATAGTGATTTCAGAGAGACAAGTTGGGAGTGTCGCAACTTTTTTCTTCCAGCTCTGCAGATGGACGAGACATCGTTCTGAATTTCTCATTTAGCAGCTTTGGGAGTCTAAATATCTCCTCACAGAAGACTTGAAGCACTTTCTAGGTGGAAATGGAGCAGTTGTTGTTGGCGCTGGTTCTGCTGCGTACGTTCGTTCAGTTTCACTTTAGCTTTGGTCCGCTATTTTTATAAAAAAAAAAAAAAAAAGTGGTGTTGCAGACGTCTTTATGGTGGGTTAACCGCAGCGTTTCACACCATGGTTAATAGTCAAACCGGTTTATCCCTGCAACCCTACCTTAAATACATCCCATCTACCGCTCAAATATTAGCTGACAGCCCTCCTCACAGCAGACATCTGGATTTGAAAGATGCAGATGATGCTTCATTTGATGCAGGGTTTCAGGATTAGTATCTGAAGTGGGATCTGTCTCCTTCCTTCCTGTTAGCCTCACATCTACCAACACTTTAAAAACAAGCTCCTAACCGCTCTCTTCCTCCAGGTCCTGCTGAAGAGCAGCCGTATTGATGTCCTGCTCAGCCGCCTGCTTCCTCACGGCCAGCTCCTCTTCCTGAACCATCGCTTCACCCAGAGTCTGGAGAAGGATGTGGCGTCTTTTCTGCTCAAATGAACCCAAGTGGCTGCAGCTGCAGGTTAAAGGCCACCTGCTTCCAGTGGGAACTTCCGCTGCTAAACTCCTATACTGTTTACCTTTGGTGACATTTCTGCATTAGGAATAGACGAGCAGACGGCGTGTGGCTGCCGAGTGCACACCGCGTAAATACAGAGTGGAAAATATCTCCCTCAGCCACTCACAGCCCACCGCTGGCTGTTTACTGTGTGGGAGGCTTCACTTCAAATCATGTTTGTCAAATTGAAGAGTGGAAAGGAAAATGTGGCAGATTAAAGAGTGCAGCTGAAGAAACCAGTTAAGACTCACTTGTCAGGATCAAAGTGTGCCATTTATCTAATTTACCACGCTCAGAATGCCACGGTGTGGCCTCCAGGAGCCACGTTTGACCTGGTTTCTGTGTTTTCAGAGGGTCTGAAAGCACAAATCAATATTGAAAGATACTTTATTGTCATTTCTTGATAAAACTAAGTGTATTATATTTGGTAATAAGTCCTGCGTGTTGAGGATTTAACCTGCTGCCTCGCCCACCTTACAGTTACTCCTAACTGACCAAATGCATCAAAATCTGGTTTGTTATTGATCGAATATAAATGCAAATGAATTAATTTTCACATCCAGGAAAGTATCTTTGCACAGAGTAATAGTTGGATAGGAAAATAGGATGTATGCCAACGTGGAATTAACAAGGGGCAAACTGTTTCCCTTTTATTAAAGAAGTCATTCTGTCGCGTGCACGTCCCATTTGCCGGTTCCGTTAAAACCCAGTTCCGTTAGAACTTATGAGACTGTGCATCTGTCAGGGTTCGGTGGGGATGTCGGTGAGCATTATTGTACTAGACCCTGGTATGGACTTCCTAAGTAAGAATCATAACTTCTATTTTAAGGTAGAATGATATGCAAGACTTGTCCCTTTGTAATAGCCCACTTCTTTTTAATCAATCCCGTTATCTATTGGTTTAGATACTAGGGACGAAGCCCAGCGGGAGGCCAGCCCTTCCGGCAATTATTTGGGTTATTTGGATTAATTGCGCCTCTATCAGCTTATGTGGATGGTTGATAACTATAAAATGATTCCTGATAGTTGGCTGGACTAACATAGATTTATCATTTTATCTAATTAATCCAACCTCCCAGCGCTGATAGAGACTTTTTCACACTTGCAATCAGAGCCAAAATTAACCTCTAATGTTTTGGTTTTATCATCCTTAAGACTCCTCGTTACTCGCGGGTGAGGAAGGAGACAAGCTCCTTTTATCTTAAGGTTTCTTTATATTAATCTGTCACAAACCGTAAAGTAAATCCTGATAATTCAGGAACCTATGATTAATGTGCTTACCTCTGCTCAATATGGTCAGGGCTCCCACTGGCCCCTTCAAAGAGGACCTTTTAAGAATCAGGAATGTAGATTATTTTTCAAAAAGTTTATTACAAGATTAAAAAATACAAAAATGAGTAAATATAAAATTAACTGCTTCCCCCAAGGAGGAATTAGTTCTAATGATTGATTAAGAAATAAGGAGTTGATTTACACCAACTCTGTCTTCTGTGAATCGCCCCAAACTTCTCTTCAAAAACTTGTCTAGCTCTGCTTCTCTCCAAAAAAACTGACCTGTCATCCCCCGTCCAGAGGACGGAGGATGACCTCTCCAAATCTGCTCTGTCTCTCTGTCGTATGCCCCAGCTGCTTGTCGAATCTCCCCAGCTCTCTCAGAGCTGTTCTTTTATACCCTTCCTGGGCCAGCTTAGGCAAGGTAAAAGGCACATATCATTACCTCATAACAGAGAGGTCATGGGGTCATTTGCCAGACACACACTTTTTTGCTCAACACAAGACATTTGGTATCATTATCACTTCATGCAGCATTCTACATGAGAGCACAGGTCACTACATCATCAGGTTTGTAGCAAGTTGTAGGTCTTCCTTCAGCATTCCTGAGAGGGCTTCTTGATCCAAACGGGCTGTCTTCACTCTGTTCCAGTCCTTCTTTTCCCGCCAGAGGTGAAGCCAGACTGCCTCCTGACCTTTTGCCCAGTTCTGTCCTCTTGTCCCTGTGACCCTTCTGTGACCCTCAGCTTGGATGCTTGTAGTGCAGCTGGGCTCCTGTCTTCTGGCTGATTTTACTCGCATAAGCCAGTTCAGTGTGTTTCAGCTTGCCACTGTCTTTGGCATGTGGGGACTGGCAACAATTCTAAACACAATTTATCCCACTGATGAGTCAGCAGGGTTCTGACCGGGTCGAGGGGACAGCAGGATAAGCAGAGAGGCCCGGACTTCCCTCTTCCCAGCAACCCGTGCCAGCTCCTCCGGGGTAACCCCAAGGCATTCCCTGGCCATTTGAGAGACATAGTCCCTCCAGTGCGACCTGGGTCTTCCTTTGGGTCTCCTCCCAGTTGGATGTGCTCAAAAACCTCACCAGGGAGACATCCATGAGACATCCTAACTAGATGCCCAAGCCACCTCAACTGGCTCCTCTCGATGTGGAGGAGCAGCGGATCTACTCCAAACCCTACTCAGATGACCGGATTGTGTTTGCTGCAGTACATTACAGTCCAGGCTGTGATGTTAAAGAACAGTGTTTCTCAACTTTGTGCTCAATATATTTTTTTTATCTGGAGACCACCACCTCCCCACACTACGGCCTACCAGAACCATCCAAACAAGAAACAACGTTGGTTACCTTTGTAACCCCAGATTCTATGAGTATGGCGGAGCCCTTTAAGCCTTGCCTATCAGGAGTTAGTCCCCGACAACGACCAATGACTGAAGAGCTTTAATGTACGCCCGCCTAACAGGTGGGCCCTGGTCCTATAAATAGGTATAAGGACCAAGGATCATCTCCAAAAGTTCAAAGAACCCCAGAACCAGTGGGCCAGATGCTTAAAGGGCTCCGCCATACTCATAGAATCTGGTGTTACAAAGGTAACCAACGTTCTATTTCGTATGGCTCCGCCCTTTAAGCCCCGCCTATTGGGTTAAAGGCAGAGCATGATGTAGTAAACACCCACTGGTTAAGAACAAGTAACAAAAAAGCCCCCAACAACCTAACACAGCTGTGGCGGGCGTAAGATAAGATGAGCAGCTGTGAGGGAAGACTGTGTGGGGGAGGGTGGGGTTATCCCGAGGTCACCCGGCAATGAGCCAGAGAACACAGGGAAGAAGAATCAACACCATAACAATAGGTGGAGAACAGCAGGGTTAATTGAGGAAGGCTCAATAACATCTCGCTGACCCCCGCAGAGCAACGGTTGAAAACATACGCTGCTAATAGGGCTTTGGAGCGTGATGTCACGCCGCAGTGCATTGTGGGATCGCGGCGCCATGACAGTTGGCCAGAGAGGTAAACAAGCACACAGTGTTGGAGTGTTGGAATTGGGAGTGATAGAATCATGCTCAAAATCAGCGCAAAAGAAAAGGGGCTGTATCGCGACCGATTGTGCCCAGACGCCAAGAGAAGGTACTTTGAAAAAATTGCTTGCTTCGGTAATGTGGACCCATATGAAATAACGAAGTGGAGTGGTAACCCAGACGATCTTCCGCCTTTGTCCTATCCCGATATCTTCGCATACCTTGTCTGTGGAGTAAGCATATACACAGCGAAGCAGTTTAAGAATGATAAATCCCTGGAGGACCACATCCAATTCACGAACGGCTGGGTGCTAGATTTGTCCGTCTTCAAGCCTCCACGCTGCGAGTATGTTGTCATTAAGACAAAGGTAAGTCGCTTTGAACATGATAACTTTCTAAACAACTTCCTTGTTGCAGTTTTTGATTTTCATGTACAGCCAACCCATCTATATTAGCCTTGGTTAATTATAGACTTAATATTAAAAGTGATTTTTGTGTGTTTAAGGTCCGGTGTCGGTACAATCAATCAATCAATCAAATTTATTTATAAAGCGCTTTTCAAACAAAGTGCTTTACAAAATGACCCCAGATTCCCATAACAGGTTAAAAACATTAACAGACATATGCAAGCACACGCACACACACAGACTCTCTCACACACACACACACACACAAGTAAAAATTATATTTGGCTGAGTCCAGATGAGCCAAGTAAGGTTAACGCAAGGAAACGCCATCAGAGGAGCCGTCTGTCCCGGCAGCATCAGGTCTTCCACACTAAGTCAGGGTGCTCAGTGGAAGGGGGGCATAGAGCGCCCAGGAAGCTACAGTCGACCACCGCTCCCGGGGCAGAGGGCCCCCACAGAGGAAACACTGGATTAAAATGAGTAAAAATGTAATAAAAGAGCTAATATAAATGACAAAAATTAGAAAATAAGTAATAAATAAAATGACATAGACAGTAAAATAATAATTTAAATAATAAAACTGTGCTAAAATATAATCATATAGAACATGCAAAGCAAGTAATAAAATATAATCATGTAAAACGAGAAATAAAACTGTAGAAAATATTTAGATAAAAGCTAACCTAAAAAGATGGGTCATGAGTCTTGACTTAAAAACATGAACGTTCTCTGTGGCCCTGAGGTCCTCTGGCAGCTCGTTCCAGAGGCGAGGGCCATAACACTGGAAGGACGCCTCGCCGTGAGTTTGTGTCCTGACTTTAGGGATGACCAGGAGACACCTGCCAGAGGAGCGCAGAGGCCGCGAGGGTTCATATGGTGAAAACAGTTCTGATAGATAAGAAGGCCCAAGACCGTTAAGACACTTAAAAACCATTAGAAGAACCTTAAAATTGATCCTGAAACATACGGAGAGCCAATGCAATGATTCTAAAACTGGTGTCATGTGCTCCCGCCTCCTGGTCTTCATCAGGACACGTGCTGCCGAATTTTGTAGAAGTTGTAAACCTGAGATGCTCTTTTTAGGAAGACCAGAAAGCAGGGCATTGCAGTAGTCTATCCTACTGGTGATAAAAGCATCAGCATCTCCGTATTGGCCCGAGAGAGAATGGGGCGGACTCTGGCGATGTTCTTTAGATGATAAAAACCTATTTTTGTGATATTTTTAATGTGTGGGGTAAAAGTCAGCTCAGAGTCAAAAATCACACCCAGGTTCTTCACTTGTTCAGATGGATTAAAAGACAGAGATTGTTGTTGACGCAGCCATTTGAAGACAGGCGAACCGACGGACAGCTACCCTTGACGGAGGAATGAACAAACACCATGCAGGCACCATTCAGTGGGGACCGGGCGCAACCGTAGCAGCACCACGCCCTTTTATTAACGCATGCACATTAATCACAGCTGTAAGAGCACAACCAATCAACATAATTTAACAATTGTAATTTCGGTAAAAGCTTCTCTCTCTGGGCCTCAGGACCAATGACTAGATCTGCTCGGGTGCAAGATCGGCTCGGGGTCCGTCGACTGCCGATGACGTCAAAGTAGTTGATTGGCTGAACATGAACCTTACGGAATTACGGAATCATGTTATGTTGTTATCACGTTACGTTGGTCCAGGCAAATCTTTCTGTTGGAAAGATGGACAACTTTTACAAAGAAATCCATCATTACCTCTTTGAAAATACACTTTTAGCATAGAGCTGCATGTATATTAGGGCTGAACAATTAACTGCATGTGCAATTAAATTGCGATGTGACAAAAGGAGATTTTCTAATCGCAAAGGCTGCAATTTGGCAGCGAGTGGTTAGCGCAATGCTAATATACGTGGAAAACCCCATAGAAATGCTAATGCTAATATCACCGATTACATTATTACAAATTATGAATTAGAAACGTGCCAAATGATTACATTTGGAGTCTAAT